GAGAAGTTAATCTATCGTCATCCATTCACACAAATACATAAACTTCAATGTGTGTCCGATTGAGATAAGCTATTGAATCCAAAAACAACAACAAAGACCGGATAGCAACGCGCATCAGACTTGTCAGTACAAACACTCTTTTTCCGCCAAACTTGAAGCAATCAGATAGTTAACAGTTGTTGCTTTATATCTTAACGTTTTGTGCTTTCGTTCGCGCGATGAGAGAGGCGTTGGCTAACAGCTATGTTAGAGTGAGGCCGCATGAAAACTTAACCTTCAGAATGTATAATTGTCATAAATTTTGTATGCATGTGTTGTCGGCAAAGTACGCTTTTAAGTTTGCCGCATCTGTACGCGAGTTTTAGACGTTTGTAGAACATAATTTTGCGCTTTTAGTGGCACATTAAATACGCCAGAAATTTTATAAAATTTATGCCTCTGTGGCTATCTGGTTATCAATAGAAAAGGATGCAAAAATTTTGCAGTTTGAACATTTGACTTTTCCGTGCGTGTGGCATAGGCGAAAACAGAAGATCGTTTTATGCTTACTAGCCGGTGAACATCCACAGGGTTGAGATTCCCTGCTCAGCCTGGTTGCAGAGTTAAATGAGTGCAAAGTTCTTGATTTTTTTCGGGCATGCTTCAAAACTCAATTTTAAATTTTTAAGCCGTACTTAGACACATTGAATGTCCTGCAAAATATTGTCCAGTTCCGGAAATCGCCTCTTCGCTACAGATATTTTTGACTTGCTTTTATGTGCGGCCCAGGTCAAAGTACTCCAAAGCATAGTAATCAAAACCAGCCACTTCAAAACACACTCATTTGCCACGCAGTACTTAACTACGTGTAGTCACTGACAAAAGTTGAAGAGCAAGCGCTAGATGTGATGGGGAGATCGGTAGGCATGGAGACGACAAGCTGTGTGCAGAATATCACTGCAACTGCGCGAGAAAGTAAAATCCGATGGGCAGGGCATGTTGCTTGCCTTAGTAAGAAGTGTGAAGGTTGCGCAGTTAGTGAATAGTAGTAAAGGACCATTCAAGCTGCCTATGCAAACACATCGAACAGGCAGTGGGTGTTGACTAAAAGTATGTAACGCAGAATGAATAGTCTGATGTAGCTAGAAATGGTATGTGGGTGCACTCCAGTGACATCACTGATACAGCACACCCACACCAATCGTCAGTGCGATCTTAGTACTTTTGATCTTATTTTATCTGCTTTCTCAAAAAAATAGCGCTGTGTTTCTCCCAACAAGACTGTCGCAAAAGGGTTTCCAGAAAACTCAGTTATCCACCATAAACTTGCAAAAAATACACTTCGGGTTTTAAACCCAACAAAAATTGTGCGCTAAAAAAATGTTTTTTTCAACCCTTAATGAAGCACTGGCATCGAGGAATACTAATGCAGATGGTTATTATGAACTGCAAGGCGGAATCGAGTCAGGTTCTAAAGCGGACATTGTCCTCAAGATCTACCACCATTGCGACTTCAACCAATTTGTAAATTGCTTTCTTTTTAGGCATTTCATAATTTTAGTATCCTGAAAAAGCTGCTTTTCATTTTGTCTTTGAAACCACCTAGATTTCCATTAACTCTGTGGTTGTTTCATCAAATTTCGCCCCCTTCCTCTTCTCCCAGTTAAACTTATAAAGAACAGTGTGAAGTAGCGTTTATTGAGCAGATTTTACTTCCGGCGCTATTTTACCTGTAACATCATGGAATAGAGAATGAATGAGGAAAAAATGTTGCAGCCTTGCTGACGAAAAGTAACGCTCGGTATTCCAAACCAGTACCTCACTGAAAGGATTGACATAAAACGGTGGTTTGAAGCTGGCACATTGAACATGCAGTTGCAATTCTCTCGCGAAAAGAAACATTGTGATTTTACGGGATGATGTAACATCGCCTTTTTCATTGTCGTGTTTTCCAGTGATATTCATCTTGCATTGTACAAATTTTAAAATTATTTTGTACAAACTGTTGTTTACATTATCAGGAAAACCAGTAGCAGCTAATTGGGCTCACCCACCAACTTGATGAAGTTGCGAGAAACACAAGATCGTAGTGGATGGAAGGAATTTACAGCTGCATAGTTGGAGGTCCCCACTATGAATTAACAGCTGTTCAGGGGTTCTAAGTATGTAGAACTCTATCTTGCGATAATAATCGCGCTATTAAGCATTTTATATCTAGCACTGGCAAAGTTAAAAGTGGATAAGAATTTTTGTACTAAAGAAAATCAAAAATCGCTCACGTAAGGATCCAAATAAATGGGGAAAATGCTTACGCAAAATTATATGGATCTAACGGGTTAAGGACAGAGATGAATGGAGAAACTGCCAGATGCATCAGTAGCGAGAAGAAACGCAGGATGAAACAATATCTATGTAAATATGGTAAGATATATATTTGAATTAAAGTGCCCATCTGTGCAATGTCAGAAAATCAGAATCCATTCTTTATTAGCTATCTTTACTTTCTTTCTTGTTTTTACTCTTTTCTTGCTTCCCTCTTTTTCACCCATCACCTCTCCCCTGTCCCTTACGCGGCCTAGGAAACTACCAAGGGAGATCCTACGCCACGTATTCACTCAGTCTGCCCACCTAATCCCTCTTGTTGCCTGCGGCGCGTGAAATCGACACACATCATCCTCCTCACATCTACCTCAACCTCCCTCCCCATGCCTCGAATCCTAGACCCAATCATGCATTGCCAACCCTCCGCCTCCTCCTCCTGTGCACTTGGCAATGTACCCCTCCCCTCCGAGTCATTCCCGTACTCCGCGCATCCGCGGCAAAAACCTGCAGCACGGATCCTCCTTCATTTTGTTCATCGCCCCCTCCCTCCTCTCCTCTACGTATCTACGTGGCTACGCTATGTAACCACTCAATCCACCCTGCCAACTTTCCTTCCACCCTTCTTCCCTCTACCTCCAATCCCCCTCACGCGGGACCCGCACACGAAGCCCTCCTCAATACCACCCGATCTGCGGCATCCAGCACTCTTTGCCGCAGCAAAGTAAGGGCACTCAAAAAATCGTTCGCAGATCATATATGACGCCGACCGAAACGAGCCGAGTTTTAGTAATTGCCGAGAATAGCAAAAACTAAGAAAAATTTAAAACTTACGAATAAAAGCAAAAAAAAGCACGGGTGTAAAAGTAAAAAAAAAAGCATATTTGCTTATCAAATAAATTGATTTGTGCGCTTGTCGCTGCCGTGTGGCCGAAATGAGCCATTCGATGTCTCGATTCGTTCCGACAACCAACGATCAGTTGCAGCATTTTTTCTCTGATTATGCTATCAACTATTTTCAG